CCCCCCGCCATGCACTGCACTCGGTCGTCACACGGAGACCACACGGTCACATACACCAACACGAAGACACAGATGGTATGCAGTCAGATCAGAGCAGAGCAGATACGGGGACGGTGCACGAGCGTCTGAGTCATACTCGATTCACCGACAGCCACAACACGAGGCGCGACACGGCAGACAGGCAGGCAGGGAGCATGACCCACATAAAATAGACATAAACAGAAACCATGCGGTGAACGGACAGCCACCGCTTCGCGCGTCGTTTTGGAAGCCAATCAGATGTGGTACTTGGCAAAGTACATCTTAACGTTGCCCGTTAGCTTGCACCATCGTGCATTGGATGGCCAGGGCTTCGTGCCGAACTGCTTGTGAACGGGTCCAGCAAGACCTACCCTGGTGAGTCGCCACACGCAGGCACGACAGCTGCTTGACCATTGCCTTGCAATCGCACGGCCCCTCGCCTTTGCCTGGTCAAGCAGCCACCTGGTACGATGGCAGTTATTCACACCCCTGTGCTCGAAGTGTTCTGTACGGACGTGCCTCTGAACGGGGACGCCCAGGCCCAGGCGTCGCCTTTCTTCATCCTCGCCATCAACCTGCACACCCACAGAGACAAAAAAAGCGCCCGCTCATGCTGCTCTGTGTGGACTGCAGACACGTGTGTGGGTGTTGGCGTGTGTCACTGTGATCACCTCAGCGTGAAGAGGGAGCTCCGTCAGCTCCTTGCCCTCGTCATCGTCATCGAGAGGTGTAGCCTCGCGGCTTGCCAGGAACCTGGTCGGCATCTGCACTCACGCATCAGAGGCAAACAAGACAGATAGGCGCATGGTGACAAGTGGAGGACATTCTGAGGCATACCGGAGGGGCGATGCCGGCATCAGCTGATGCATCCACGGCGGTCGCGGCGGCAGTGGGGAAGGGATCAGCGCACACGGCACCGGCCAGCAGGAGGGCGCCAACGAGGCACAGAAGCAGCTTCATCGTCACGACGAGAGAAGAGGAGACCAACTGATGTGAAGGTAACGGACAAACGAAAAGCTCAACTCAGGGATGGATGTGGGCAGCAGGATCTGCAGATCTGAGGTCGCCGGGAGGGGTGAGATGGGGAGAGGGGGGAGGGAGAGAGGGAGAGGGGGAGATAACTAGGGTTTCCCTATTCATCCGTTCCACGGGAACAGTTAGGGCATGGGGAGGACGCAGAGGGAGCTCATTTTTCTCCCTCTCCCTCTCCCTCTCTCCCCTCTCATCTATCTATCCTTCCATCCATCCATCCATCCATCCTCAAGTTCATCCGAACCAGATCTCTCTTTGTGTGTCCCTGCCTTTCCCTTCGTGCCAGCTTCTCTTATCCCTGCCAGCTCATCTCGGATCCGTCTCCCTCCATCCTCTTGATCTGCAACCACAAGAACAAGATGATGAAGTGCGGTGTCGCGGCGTGTGTGCTGGCTCTCCTGGCGGCCTGTTATGTGCCCATGGCAGCGGCCAAGAATCATGGCGTCTGTCCCGTCCGAGAGGACCCCCTCCCCGAGTGCCCACACGGCTTCGTCTATCACGCCGACGCCGGCAAGTGCGTCAAGCCGTTCCGCCACCAGCCGCACTAAGACAACACAAGAGGCAAAATCAGGACTATCAGGACGGGAAATAAGAGAACAGCCAAAAGCCCCTCCGTCAGATCCCGAATAGCTCGACAACACCCCGAGCTCTCAAGCTCCTTCTTCAGCTGGTCACAGTTCGCTGTCATGTCCTGTAGCTGGGCCTCCAAGGAACAAATCAGCTGCTGCATCTCCTCCACTTGCCCCTGCAGCAACTTCACATGCTCATACGCCGCGCGCTCGCGCGAGTGAGAGGCAAACAGCAGGCTCTCCCATGGCTGACGCGCTCCACGCCTTCTCTCAGCGCCCACATGATTTCGTCTCCCTTCTGGGCCAGCTCATTCGTCCATCGGGCCGCAGTGGCAGAGAGGTCTTGGCCGCCTTCGGTGACGAGCTCCTGCAGCCCTCCCTGGCCGCCAGACATCGCTCCGTCAGCCTCCATCAACTGAGGAGACAAAACACGCGCAGCGACGCAATCACATACACGGCTACGCAGATCGGATGAATGCATTGCTTTTTTCGCTTGCTTACTCACTTGTTCTGGCAGGCTGAGCGAGTGAGCCACCGTGACGGTCCTTCTCTGCTTGACGTCTGATGCGCTGAGCCTCACAGCATTAACGAATGCAGATGATGCAATTGAAAGGCTCCCGACGATCCCAGCTTAGACCGCCAGGAGGGAAGGAAAAAAGGGGGAAGATCTGCGCGTCTAAGCTCGCAGAAGGTTAAAGCAAACCGCAAATGAGGCTGTCCGCTCGGCGCCTTGGTGCTGCTCCTGCTCATCTGCAGATCCACTCATCAATCGTGCCTGCAGTTGATTCATCGATGAAAGCCGAGGCCAAAGCGAGTTCGTCGGATTTTCCTGCCGCAGAAACAGCCTTGCAGAAGGAGATCCAGGCTCTATTCAAGCTGGCATACAAGGCCGACTTCTCCCTTGCCCGCAACACATGGGCACGGGACAGCTTCCGCGTGACGAAGGAGCGCATCAAGACGCAGCTGGGGGCTTACCTCCATCAACAAGACAACAGTCATGACTGGCTGCCGGTTCCCAGGGACGTCATGCGGCTCGGTTGGCTGATGGCGCGGTGCGACTTGACAGATCCGGCCCTGTTCTCTCTTTTATGGACTCATGCGCACCGGCAGATAGCAGCCTTCTCGACTCACGAGCTGACGGCGTTTGTGTGGGCTTCGGCCAAGGCGGGCGGAGCTCCACAGAAACAAGATAAGAGGGGCGGCTGGGATTTGGATGACTTGGAGCGGTCGGTGGAGGTGCTGATCGACCGCCTTGGCGACTTCAATTCGAAGCACGCCGTCAAGATGCTGTGGTGTCTGGGGAGGCTGGCGGACCTCTCGCTGAAACACAGCGACGGCGCGGCAAGCGAGTCAGCCGCTGCTGCAGAAGATGACGAGATGGAGGAGGACGGCACAAAAGAAAGTCAGTGCATTCACACACTGGCGGGAATGCCCACTGGTCTCTCACCTCTGTTCCCCTGCTGTGTAGGCAGCGATACAGCCTACTTCTCGCCCGAGAGCTCGTTCCGCCGCGAGGTGATGGAGATCGATTTCGAGATCTGGGATGGCGACATTCTCTCAAGGCCGACACACCCAAATCGACGCAACGGCGAGAAGGCGGCGAGCCACCAGCCGCCCCGGTCCATCCTCCCTGCTTTCGTCTCGGGACTCAGTCGCGTGTTGACGGGTCAAGTGAGTCAGCTGCCGACCGTTGAGTTGGCCACGTGTTTGTGGTGCTTGACCAAGATCCACCTCATGAGCCAGCAGCCCCGACACAGCCGCATCCTGCCGAGGATGAAGATCGACAGGAACCTATTCCATGTACGTGAACAAGAGGAGGGATACACTACACGGACGCACATTCAGATGCGCCCCTCTGGTGTGTCGTACTCATGCAGTCTGTGGCCAAGTCAGCGTCTCAGCGGCTGAATGAGTTCCGCCCCCACGGCCTCTCTGTCGTCTTGTGGAGCCACGCCCGCACTGGCTTCGTCCCTCCTCCCTCTCTGATCAGCAACCTCAAGGCGCTGCTGACGTCGGGCATTCGGCTAGGCAGGCAGGGTCGCATGAGGGGCAAGGGCGGGCTGGTGCGCAAGGGCGGGCTGGGGCGGTCAGGGGGCATGTGGGAGGCCAGACATGTCGCCATGGTCACACGGAGCCTCGCTACCATCAAGTGAGAGAAGAACTGGGGGCAGCGTGTGTGCCTATATTGCTCATACAATCGTTGTGTCTGTTCTCTTGGTGTGTTTTGTGTTGCAGTAGCCCGCGCTGCCCGGTTGATGGAGAGGTGTTTGCGGCGCTTTCTGGTACGCTCGTGAGTGGCCTGGATGGCCTCAAGCTATCGACACTGCCAATCATCCTCCACGCATTCGTCACCGCCGGACAGCTCGACAGCGTGAGCACGGACACAGACACAGACACGTGGAGAGAGATGCCCCCCATCTGTTCGTGTCAATTCACTCGCGTTCAGGCACTGAGTCGCTGCATCCGTGTGCGGGTAACTTCCAATACGCAGTATCTGTCTCGGCTCTCGCCGGTGGCCCTGTACCACCTGCTGGCGGCCCTCTGCCACATGCACGACAGACCAGCAAGTGAGGCAGCGGGTGTGTGGGAGGAGTGGGGGCCTGTGGCGGACCTGCTGCTCGAACTGAAGACAGAGGGAAATTTGCGGTGAGGTCGACAAACACATCACGCCCAAAGTGACACGTAAATGGTCCTGCTCTGGTCGTTTGTCAGGTCGCAGAGGCCTGGAGCTTTGCCAGCGTTTGCGCAGAAGAGGATGGATGAGCGATGGAAGGCATTGGAGGCAGCGAGGGAACATGAGTAGGTTGATGGCGGGTGGTGGCTGTGTGTAGAGGCTGCGTGGCCGCCTGCGTCGTGATAAGTGCGATGAATGTACAGAGACAGGTTGACGGATTGTTGTATCGCTTCTGCGTTCACCCTATCTCTTGCCGTGTGTGTTTGCATCATCACCATGACATGGATGCATCAAAGCATCGTCTGCGTGACCCACTCCCAATCTATCTCTTTCTGACAACACCCTGGCAGCACCTGACCCACCCCTATCATCATGCTGCCCATCCCTCTCTACGGAGCACATGTGTCGAGCCCAGAATGCACAGCCAGCTCTGTCATGAGTGTATGCACCCTACCCACTTATCCCATCTCTATCATCTTTTCTATCTACGGCTGCCACGTGTAGGGCTGGTTGATCCACATATTCGCCTCGGCCCGTGTGCCGGCAAACACCGCTTTCTCACCACAGCAGGCACAGCGGAACTCAGGCAGGGGCACGTCCATGCCCTTGCTGCGCTGCTCCTTGGCTGTCTGCATCTGCTGCTCGTGTCGCGCCTTGTGTGATGTGTAGCAGTGGTTGCAGAGACACAGGTGGCGACAGGGGATGAACATAATGGCCGCGTGACCGTGCTCGCCGAAGCAGATGCTGCAGTCCTCCTTCCGTCCGGGGGGCAGAGAGGAGGAAGACGAAGAGGCACGCTGAAGACTCGCCTCGGCAAGCCTGAAGGGAGACAGAGACAGACAAGAGTCACTGGACAATCATCATGTCCGTTCAGGTTTTCCGCCTTTGCTGACCTTTGCCGTGCCTCTTCGAGTTGCTGTATGAGCTTCGACACCAACGCATCCCTACCCTCACCGGCAGATCCACCGCTGCACACATACACATACGCAGCTTGAAGTTCAGAAACGGCGGCAGTGTGAAGTGACGTCGTCTCACCCGTCCGCTGTGGCGCCCAGGCTGTCGCTGCTATCGTCACGCGACAGACCTCCTTCCTGAAACGGGCCAGACGCAGTGCTGCAAGCAAAGGACACACAGAGAGTGACACCCATGACGAGCAAATCGGCTCAGGTGATCGATCCATCGCATTGCATGGGTTAGCCTACCTAGAGACATGATAGCTGTCAGCAGGCATCGGGGGCAAGGGGCCTGTGTCCAGCCCCGCCGCCTTGCCCTTGCCCTTCTTCTTCCTCCTGCGATTGACGACGCGAACAAGGCCTTCCAAAGCCGCCGGGGCACCATCATCAGCAGCAGCGGAGGCCTCTTCAACGACCAAACCGCTGCAGAAAGACATGAGGTGTGAATGACGATCGTGCCATGCCAGTCGGCGGGTGTCGCGGATCTCACGTAGAGCTGGAAGGGCGGTCGTCGGGCGGCACCATGACATCGCCGTTATCTTCTGAGTCTTTAACAGCCCTGTGAGAGTGCAACACATTCGCATAGGAACACAGCCATGTCTCACGTGCCCTGTCATCTCATCTCCCTACACGTCTGAGGCCATGGGCGTATCTTTCGTTGAGGATGACGCACTCGCCGTTGCCCGTCCCTTGCCCTTCTTCCGCCCGTTCTTGCCGCCCTTCCCCCCACCAGCCGCCTTGTCCCGCTGCATCACCTTCTCCTGCTCCTCCTCTCTCAGCAGCGCCTCGACCGCCTGCAGGGCCTTCTCCTCAGCCGCCTGCAGGCTCTCAGGGGGCTCGTTGGATGGGACAGGGGGCTTCGGCGGCCTGGATGTCCTCTTGGCGGTGGTGGTGCCGTGCTGCAGCAGCTCCAGCTGCCTCTCATCCAGACCAAACTCTACAAGCAGAGACATCACAACGAGAGTGACAGGGATGGTGGGTGAGCCGTCTCGGCAATCGATCTACGTATCTCTTGTATTTTTTGTGAGGTGTGGGTCTCCCACTCTGAGCGACCCATTTCTGGGCAGCCACAATGTCGGCGCCATCGCGGTCGTGGTGCAGCAAGATCCAGAAGCATGCCAGGGTGCTGGGTGGGACGCCCGTGGTGAAGGCGTCCATCATGGCCTCCATACACGCCGCCAGAGGCGTCCTCTGGCTCGGGCCGTACACCCTGTTGATGTCGTCTTTGCTCAGGTGCTTGCACAGCCATTCCAGCACTCAGGGCGAGTTCTGATACGCCGCAGCCGCGTGGACCGGGGTCGCCTGGTCGAGGTCCAAACCCCTGATGTTGCCGCCGTGGTCCTTAAGCATGTCCAAGTATGTGTGCAGGAAGTCCTTGGACACGATATCGCCTCTCACTGCCGCCATGTGGAAGGCGTTGCACCGCGTCCCTGTCTCCTCGCACGCCAGCGATGGCTCCCGATCGAGCAGACAGCGATACACGTCCAGCAGCGCCCTGCCGTAGTCATCAGTCATGCGCAAGGGGAGGGGATTGCGCGGCAGATACACCAGCTGCTGCCCCGTCAGCGTGCCATCGTAGTGCTTGAGCAGACACCTCATAGCGGCGGGGTTGGCCAGGTCGACGGGGAAGCGCAGCAGCCTCGTGAGGGCCCCACGATGGATGAGGTGCTTCTCTGAGGTGAGCATGCCGTCGAGGACGGCTGTCTGCACCTGTGGGGACGGCCAGTTGGGGAGCTGCAGACACTTGGCTTCTTCCAGGGGAAACTGCCTTGGGTCGTCTCTGCAGAAAAGAGAAAAGGTACGACCGGGGCTGGGAGTAAGCAGGTGTGTACGCTCCTTTACCGGCAATCGGTTGGATCATCAATGGCGAGCTGAGCAAGACAAAAAAGGGAGGAAGAACGCCGCTTGCAATGGCATGAAGGCAGCCTGTGGTGTTTCTTCTGTACCTGTACGATGACCAGTTGAAGGACTGACACCCTCACAGGGCCCGGATATATGAAATAAATGTATGAATTCCATGCAGTAGCGCCCTCCGCCAGCAGTTTCGCCACATCCTCTGCCGCAGTCAGGCTCCGCAGGATGACCTTCCGGAAAAGCCTCTTGGTGGCGGGACTGGCCGGCTCCCCAAAGGCATAGTCGATGCCCTGTGGCTGCAGGAGCTCACACACTCGTCGTTTGTCGTGCTCGTCCTCCTCAGTCTCTTCTTCTGATTTGCTGCTGCCTCCCTTTGCCTGCATCCATCACACAGGAAACAAGACTCGTGCAAGTGGAGACGCCGGCTGCCTCTCTGTGCGCGCACTGACGTAGTTTCTTATCTCTCCCACTGTTCCATCTCTGACGGCCCGCGTGAGCCGCACAGAGTCCGCAGATATCTGGTCCAGGATCATCACCGGGGGATCAAGGTCAACCTGCAACAACAACAATAACAACAAGACATGAGGCTTTATCACAGTGTAGCTTACGTTCGGCTGCTCTCGGTGCGATGTCAGGAACCTCCCTCCGCTCACACACTCATACCCGCGAGCATGCGCATTGCCTGATGACGCAATGGCATCGCGAGATGGCATCGTGCCCTTGGGTGCAGGCTGATTTCTCACCTTCAAAGAAAGCCCGAGAGCTTGGCTGAAGAGAGCTCAGCCTCATCAATTGAGACTCATGGACAGAAAACCAATTCAAAGGCACGCGGCGAGTTCTTTGCGCTTCAGCACCACGACCCCCATTGGGGGCGTCCTAGGGCGTCCCAGGGGGCGTCTCAGACGTTTTCCATCTGTTTTTCGCAATGCTCAGGTTGAGATCTGCCTTGGGGCGGGCCTATTCGACCGGTACTGTCGGCGTCCTCGATTCCAGTGCCCTAAATTGCGATTCCAGCCTTCCCCCATTGGCAATTGGTCGGCACATCGTCTCTTCTCCCCGTCTGCGCTGCCGCCGGGGCTGACAAGACAACAACGGGAGGAGCAACTCATTGAGCGGATTCATGAGCTCTTTGCTTCCCCCTCAAAGCACCTCAGCCCTGAGGCTCCCCCCCCCAAACATCTGAGGAGCCGAGGGAATACGAAGGCCGTCGTCGCTGCATCACTGTTCCTTCTGTCACGCGACTGGGTCACATTCTTGGAGTGACTCGATGGTGGGCAGGATACTTGGTGCGCCAGCAAGGGTCCCTCTTCAAGCGCTTTCGATTTGAGACCGTTACATATGAGGACCTGCCCGGCGAGGAATGGAGACGCTATAGCGACTATGCCAATGACCAGCCACCATTTGCCGACATCCACGTGTCGAACAAAGGCAGGGTGATGTTGCCGAGAGGTGCGAAATCCTGTGGAACGATTCACAAGACCGCAGGCTACCCCTACATCTCCTTGCCGGCCAAATGACCAGAAAAGTGCATAGGCTCGTCGCAATCCTTTGGTGTACATCATGTCGATGGCGACCGAACAAACAATGCTGCCGACAATTTGCAGTGGATAGACCACAGCTTAAGGGCCAGCTACAGTTCTGGGAAAAGAAAGAGCAGCTCTACTGTCGTCTCGCCAGCCAGAAGCCTGATGTCCAGCGAGTTCCTTCCTGCAAGGCAGCGGCAAACCTTCTTGGGGCAAGCGAAAGGACGGTTGGCAAGCGTGCTCGCAATGAGGGCTGCTGAGACAGCGATTTCTACAAGAAAAGGACCAGCGACAATTGGCCGGAGAAAGATGGAAGTCGGTGCGAACCTTGAAATGAAAGGTCCTTCCTTATGCGTCCAAGGAGATCGACACGGGCCGGATGGTGTCAAATTTGGGGCGGCTGAAGCGGCCAGACGGACGGATGGTGCACGGATGGAAGACCAGACCGACGGGCCAAGCTATCGGGCTACACAGCTCGCTTTCAGCGACTCGGAAGCCCAACTGCGTCAAACCCACATGGTTCACCGAATCGTAGCTGCTGTGTTTCGGTCGCTTTCGAGAAAACGGTTGGAAGACCTCAGCATAGAAGGAGAAGTGGATCATATCAATTGCTGTCCCTTCGACAACCGAGCAAGAAACTTGCGCTTTGGTGACCGAAGCGCCAACAACCAGAATCGCGTCCACAATCGAGACCTCCAGACGAGACACCGCCTGGTTGATCGGCCTCGTGGTGTGCTACAAGGCAGCCCATCGCATCCATCCTGTCTTCCTCCGCTGTTGATCGAAAGGGCAAAGCTCAAAGGGCTGGTCAGACGGATTGACAGCATGAGTCCAGCATTGTGGAGGCGGCTGGCGTGGAGGGTTGGCATGCATGGCTTGTGGAGGCGGTACACATGGTCATTCTGGCCAGAAGTCAGAAGGGCTATTCGCAGGACGAAAAAGAGACGGCGCCTCAATGGCTTCGGATACGCGCAGAAAATGAACAGAAGAGGAAATAGCGGCTGCTCGTATGCGTTCTAGAACAGATTACATACATGAAATACAGTCAATGAATGGATCGCCCGATGCGATAACCAACATGCCCCCACACGAAAAAAGATTGTCGATGCGATAACGTGTAGCCACGCATTGCACGTGGCATCACACTCTGGCAAGCAGTGCCCTGAGTTGGTTGCGAAACTGAGTGATGGAACCGTCAGTCACGTAGTCAGTCGCATCCTGGACAGAACACATACGAGAGACATACACAGCTCAAACGACATATGAAAGGGGGCATCCTCGCTATGGCCTTACTCGCATGGCCTCTGCCAAAGTGCTCCTGATACCCGAAAAATACGATCGACGCCACACAATCTGGAAACAGGCACACACGGACCGAGGGATTCATCGGCGAGACACCCCACACGCACATTGGATCGATGTTTGTTTCCTTACACTTGTCCTCGCTTGGATGTTTCCCATGCTGTTGTAGTTCTGATTTGAGAAGAGCGATGTGTCGGGATTCCATAACAGCAGGCCACGCATGCGACTGGCCTGAAGGAACGAGAATCCCCCACCTGTGATGGGTCATGTCTCCGGCACACAGCCAGCACGCGCACCGGTTCAGGTGTTGTGATCCATTGGCGCTGCTGGTACAAGCTCTCGTCACGCTGGTCGGAGCCGATCACGAACACAGTCGAGGAGATGCTCATACCGTCCCTGGCGAAGCAACTCATCACGTGGTCCATGAAGTACCCGGAAGGCGCAGCAAAGCCCTGCATGAAGACATGAAGGCCATACGTCCATCCAGCCATGGAGGGAGAGAGGTGTATGTGTATGTGTCAACTGTTCACCGCATATGAGGAGCCATAGCCAGAGGGAGAGATGGCGAGACCGTTCCAATCGTTGTCAGTCACAACTAGACGCAAGCAGATCGGAGACACAGACGTATGCACCC